ATTATACTGTATATAAGGACATGCTAGGTAACATTTTTATTTCTTAGTTTACATTTTGCTAATATCTCTTCACTTCTGTAATTTACCTGCATTTTGTATTTCTTTTTAATGTTGTAGAATGTAGAAGGTAATCAATGACACCACAGCAATGATACACTAAAAAATATCTGTGGTTCAAACTGTCTTTGCAGCTCTTCCAGAGGAAACAATTGTGCCAGGTGAATCTAAAAGTTGTCTTTTAATGAGAATATTTTTTTGATCCACTAATAAATACATTTATTACCCTAAAAAATTAATTGCGACTAAAAAACATTTTAACTCTTGTAGATGCAGACTTTTGGGTAACACCACCAGCACCCCCATCTACAGAAGGTGGGTATAGTTATTGGAGTATATGAATTTATTTTATTTTTTCCTTCTTTAAAATTCAATTTGAACATAAGGAAAATCTGCACTGCAGACTCAGTTTCATGCTTTCTTCTTTATTTGTTGTTTGTTTGCAGATGACTCATTTGGGGCCTGGCATCCATCTTGCCCAGATGGATGGAGTATGCACAGTCAGTGCCTCCTCTTTGTTCCAGAAAACATGACCTGGGACGATGCTCAGGTAACAAGGATGACTTTTTTCCTATTAATAAATCTTACATTTTCTTGGTCACTCCATGCTGTTTATCTCCATCGTAGAATAACTGTCACTCTCATGGAGGACAGCTTGCATCTGTGTATGATGACTTTCAAGCTTATGAGATTCAAGCAGAGCTGAAGCGTGCTGGACATGATCATGGAGAATTTTGGGTTGGAGGCCATAATAGTCCAGGGGTAAATAGCATGATGTCTAAGATTTTGAGAAACAATTGATTTTTTTTATGAATATGAATTTATATAATATTCTATTTTGCTTTAACAGAATCCTTCTTGGTCCTGGAGTGATTATATGGGAATCTCTGCTTTTGCTGACTTTTGTAATGGAGACACAGTCAAAGAGGAGCACCACTGTTTGCAAGTAACTTTTAGTGGTAAGTCTGTCAAGTGTTTAAAAAAAACCCCAAAACAATCTTGTTTGGATTTCTTCATGGTCTGTGTGCAGGGAGGCAGGAAAGGACCCAAAATTTTAACTCAAATCACAGAGACAAAACTTAAATTCCAAAACTGCAGCTTTATTTAAAACTAGAAGACCTTAACTAAACATGAGTGTACAAAAATAAACTAAGCAGGCCGCGCACACAGACATGACGGCAATCGCATCTCTGACAAAGAGAAACACAGGGCTTAAATACACTGAGGGTTAAACGAGGGACATGAGAGACATGAGGGAGACACAGCTGGGAAAAATCAGACTTAACGAGACAGGGGAAGCAAAACTAGACACACTGACAGGGGACACAGACCTTCAAAGTAAAACAGGAAACGCACCATCTGAACTCTAGACATGTAAACCTAACAGAGACTGGGGAGAACATAGAGGCCTGAAGCGCAGTACAGAAAGGTGCAAAGAAAGCACGACATGGAACACAGGAAGCCATATAACAAACCCTTAGAACTAAAACCATAATAGCAATAAACAAACTTTGGGTAATAATAATTATAATGATCAAAACAGCACAAGAAAGGATTCAGAACATAAGGCATAATATAAAATACAAAAGGCTCAAAAGTGCTGGGTCACAAGGACCCTGAACCGTGACAGATTCATCTGTTTTGATTATCACTTCAAAATAATTACTAGCACACCAAGTGTTTTAAAAGAATAAAGTATATTATTTTTTTCTTTGAATGATGTTATTATCATTGCACTGAGCATTGTTTCTTGTCCAAGGATATTTACAGTTTGTGTTCCCAGTGATGCATCATTAAATAATTGAGATTTTATAAATAAAACAATTTACAGTCCTATGAAGTTACACAAAGCTATCAACTATCGTTTTATGCTCAAAACTTCTATGTACTGGGTTATTAATTCTTGGATTAATGTTGTCCTTGATTAATGTTGTCCACTCACTAAGATGTCAATTGTGCGGTACAAAAAATAACTGTAAGTATTGTGTACGAACATGGTGGGTGAAACAGATTAAAAAGACAGGGATATTTATATATAGGCACAGAACACTGAATTGAGTAACATAAATGGCTGTGAATCAGAAAGTAAAGCAGCTAATCACTGTTT